GGGCATAGAATTGCCAGTTTGCAATTTCCTCTCATTTTTATGAGTTCTTCCTCCTACCCCGACCCTTGACATCTCACCGACTTCCACAACCACATTACATCTACAGCCAGGACTTCTCAAATCTTAAATGGAAATCACAGATCTTTCCTAAGTCCCTGATGCAGGTCTGCGATGCCCCTGGTTCCCCCCAGGCCCCTCCCTCACACGAGGTCCCCCTCTGAGCTCAGCAACATTTCTCAAACCTGTTCATCTCCCTGGGTCCCCATCTCAGGGACAACCCCACTGTCTCCCAGGCCCCAGACCAGATGTCCGAGATCCATCCTCCCCTCTCACTCCCTAAATCCATGGGTCCCCAAGCTCTTAACCCCCTGAATCTTTGCCTTCTCCCCTCCACTCTCTGTCCCCACAGCCCTGATCTGGCTCAGGCCTCTTCTCCTTCCACCCAGACCCACACCCAGCCTCTTAAACTCCTATTCATCCTCACGTGGCCCTCAGAGGGTCTTTTCACACCCAGAGCTGATCCTGACCCTCCCATGGCTCCCCCAAACACCAGGACAAGGCCCCAGCCCCTTCCAGGTGGCCTTGGAGGCCTTGTGAGTTCCGGCCCCACCCTCCTCCAGACACTCCTTGCACTTTGAACTTCGCCCCATTTCCTAGCCACATTACATTGTCAAAGGGGCAGTTTACACTGTTCCCATTTCTGGAATTACTTTTCATGCCTTTCTCTCCAGTACGCCTTCAACTGTCAAACTCTAGCTCATCCTTTAAATGTCACCTCACTGGAACCTCATCCTCCAGAAACTACTAGTGCCACCCTGTGTCCCCTCCCCGGTCTTAGCCAGATGCCCCCTCTTGGCTCCCACCTGATCCAGTGTCCTGTTCTTTGCAGCTCCCATCTCCTTGCCTTACAATTGTCTTCCTCCCACCAGGCCACTTTTTTGATCACACTTCCCATCAGTAAAAGTTTTTGAGAACTCACCCCTAAATAATGTGTATGTTTATTTTTACATAATTCAAGCCATCCTGCACTAATGTAATATCTTCATAACGAAACACACACTAAGTTAGGAATGTTTGCATTTCCCACACCCCAAAGGTTGTCTTGGAGACAGCTAGAAAGCCAGAACTCACTTGAGAGCCTAAGGGCAGCCACCCCTTGGCCACTCAGCACAAGCACAGGGCCTACACACACTAGGTAACTGCTATCTTCCAGTTAGAATCAGAGATATTTTCCAGTGCTTACGATGTGCTGGGCACTGTTGCAGGAATACCACAAGCATTAACTTGTTTAATTCTCACAATAAGCCAGGAGGGAGGGCCTGTTTTTATGCCCAGATGACAGATGAGGCCCAGAGAAGTGAAATGATTTCCCCTAAGTCACACAGCACATGCCCCAGCTGAAATTTAAACCCTGGCATGGCCTGTGCTCTTGAGAATACTGACTGAAGGTTTCTTGCAGGAATGAACGAACGAATGAATGAATGAATGAACAGAGACAGCCAAGAAAGAAAGTCAGAGATAGTGATACAAGTAGCCAGAGACACACAGAGGAGACACGAGGAAGGAAAGAAACAGAACCCAGCCCTGGGGCTTAACACTGACCCTGAGTGGGAGAATGGGAAATTGCAAGCCTTTGCAGACTGACCCAAGCCCTCCGCAGGGAAAGAGCCACCAGGGAACGCCCTTGGGAGTGTCCGCAGTGACAGGAATGGGGGAGGGGAGGAGCCAAAGGGCGGGGTCTGCGGTGGGCGGGGTCAGCGGGCCCGGGGCGCTCTGGGGTCCGTCCCCGGGGCGAGCTCCTCACCCCGGATCTGCGGGGTCAACGATGAAAGTCGTGCACGTCTTCTTCTTGAAGATCTTGGGGATCCAGCTCTGAGGACAGGAACAAGAAGGGTGGTGGGGGGAATCCAGCTCAGTCCCACGGGACACGGAGTGACCCACCCGCGCCGTAGCCGGAGATCCAGGAGTCCGGGACCACAGCGCCTTCCTCTCCCAGACTCAGGAATCTCAACCCTCCAACTCTTACCTCCTATCTGTCCCCAAGGACCCAGGAGTCCGGGCCCCCAGCAACCCCTTCCTTTGTCTGACTCAAGAATCTGGGTCTCCAGCGCCCTCCTCTGTGGGAACCAGGAGACCAGGCCCCCAGCCCCCTGCTCCCACAGACCCGGGGTCCGGCCGCCGTACCTGCTCCTTCTCCGCACCCACCATGCTGCTGCAGCCACCGCAACCTATCGGACTCCCCGCATTCCCTCCACTAACCCGGGTTTCTGATGCACCCAGGACAAACCGGATCCGCCACTTTCCAGCCCAGTCTGGGGCGGGGCCAGGTCTGGGGGGCGGGCAATCTGGGAGACGTGTAGGGCGGGAGGCGGGGCGAAGGGTCGGACAGGCTCTGGGACCGAGATCCAGAGAGAGGGGTACAGAACCCCAGAGTAGGGGAGGGGCACAGAGACCCAGAGAGAGGGCGAGACAGAGGTCCAGAGAGGAAATGCCAGCAGTGAGGGAGAGGACACACTGACCCAAGTGGAAAGGTGGAAGACACTAAGACTTAGGTGCGAGCAGAGAATCAGAAAGAGGGGGACAGAGATTGGTGGGGGGCTAGACTGACCCAAAGAGGGAGGGAGGGGGAGGGAGGGGAGGGAGAGAGAGAGAAAGACTTGGATGGAGGGCAGACGCTCAGAGTGAGAGGGAAAGACAGAAGTCCAAGAGAGACAGGGGAACAGAATCTTGGGGGTGGGGGGCACAGGGACCCTGAGAGGGTGGGTGAAGGAACAGTGACAGAGAGAAGGAGACCCGTAAATACGGATGGGAACCCAAAAAGCAAGGGCGATAGAGATAGGATGAGGAGTGAGAGATACTGACACACAGACCGGCAGGGCCACATGTCTCCTGCCAGCTCTCAGATGGACAGCTGCAGCTTCCTGGGAAACCTGAGTGCCCCACCCCCACCCCATGCTGTATTTATAGCCCTGGCCTGGCCCCATCCCCTGCCCCCAGATCAGAGTTCCAGGGACAGGAGGTCACGGGTACGTGTGCTGAAGCAAAATTCCTTTCACCCCTCTCTAGGGCCTCCATGTTGGCATTCACTGTCTCAGTTAAGTGGCCCCTTCCAACCAGAAACTTCCCATAACCTAACCTCCAATCTTTCCTTGGCAGGGGTCTCACCCCTCAGATACATCCCTCCTGCTCCCCACCCAGCTGGCCCAGGCTCCGCCAAACTGACCCACTAAAAATCTAGCCGTTGTCTTTGCAGCTGCCAAACATGAGCTTATTGGCAGTCTAAAGTCAAGTCTCTAGGTCCCCCTTTCCTGGCTAAGGGGAGGCTCCTTCACCCACCCACTCTCCAGCTAGGAGGAAGAGGAGCAGGAGGGGAGGGGCAGGCAGGGGACTAACCCAGAATAACTCAGAGTAAATTTAGACACAGAGAAGGGAGGGGAGAGACCCTATTGGCTGGGAAGTGGGAGGGAGGGCCAGAGAGGGGGGTCAGGGGACTCTGTAGGCGGCCTCAGAGGGGTGTCCAGAGTTTGGCAGTGAAGGCCAGAGGGCAGAGACAGAGACACAGCAAAGACACAGGGAGAAAGAAAGAGAAGGACCCCAGAAGTGACAAGGACCCCAACATTCACTCCTATAGCCACAGCGGCAGCGGGAACCAGCCCTGGGAGAAGCTCTGCTGCCTGTCTGTCCCCATGGGCCACCTTAGGCCATGGCTGCACATGTCTCTCCTCTGGGCTGCTGTGGTCAGCCTGCTCCTCCCCCAAGCCATGACCCAGCAGCTGAGAGGGGCTGCGCCGGGCCCCAGCAACTGGAACAACAATGCAGGAGTCTCAGAGCCTTCAGAGGATGCGTCAGGTGAGTTTGGCCATGCCACGCACAGCCACAGAGGCCACAGAGATGAGAATAAGGATGTTTCCACAGAGAATGGGCATCATTTCTGGGGCCACGGAGACCATGGAGAAGAGGATGAAGATGTATCCAGAGAATACCATCACCAAGTCCAAGGCCACAGGTACCAAGGCCATGAGGTGGGAGATGAGAATGTCTCTGATGAGGAGCAATCCACAGAGCAGATTCAGCAGGCCCATGGGCACAAAGGCCCTGTGAATGAAGACATGGATGATTCAGCTGAGCACAGGCACCACTTCCCCAGCCACAGGAGTCACAGCCATCAAGAAGAAGATGAGGACGAAGTTGTGTCCAGTGAGCATCACCATCATATCACCAGGCGTGTATACCAAGGCCATGGAGAAGAGGAGGATGAAGAAGATGAGGAGGAGGAGGGAGGAGTCTTCACTGATTACCGACATCAGGCCCATAGGCACCGAGACCATGGGAAGGAAGTGGATGAGGATGTCTCAGATGAACACCACCATCATGGCCCCAGCCACAGACACCAAGGCCACGAAAAAGAAGAAGAAGATGATGTCATCTCCACTGAGCACAGACATCAAGTCCACAGGTACCAAGACCATCAGAAAGAAGAGGATGGGGATGTCTCAAGTGATTACCACCACCATGGCCCCAGCCACAGACACCAAGGCCACAAAGAAGGTGAAGAAGAAGAAGG